TATTGAAATATTATTGCATAAATACTAATAGGGTAGGTTGACGATGGGAAAGCTGAAAGCACGTTTACCTTTGGTTTAGCTGTTAGTTGGCCATTATCGTCTATAGTCAGTAAAACATCCAAGTATGAAACAAATGTTGTAGACTCTGTGGTGTCCTTTATTTCGAGTTCATTGGGATTTATCCAGTGCACATTTGAATGAATGAAAATAACTATTGTTAATTGAAAATAACTAATGCTAATTGATAAATTGTCGTTGATATATCTTAGTATCAAATCAAAGGCCACAGCGAGAATTTTTTTCTCATGCGGAAACTTTTGAATAAATCTGCTCAAAAGAAAAAAATTAAAAGATCGGCTTTCAAAGGAGCACAATTAGTACCCATAGAAATTCCAACATTTTGTTGGAAGATCTAATCTCCAAAGACTGCATAGAAACTCCTGTATCTACTAGTATTTTGTTTTTGTTTTTGTTTGTTTGTTTGTTTGTTGTTGTTGTTTTTTTTTGTTTTTTTTGTAAATGACCAATCGCAAGATATGAAAAAAATTTGACTTATATTTTTATTTAAAAAAACAAAAGAAGAAGTTATCTCTGACGTCAAAAAGACTTGTATTTAATTTCTGGGTAGTTCAGTCGGTAGAGCGCTCGCTCCGTGATCGGAAGGTCGTGTGTTCGAATGACGGCCGCGACTGACCTAAGTCGAAAAAAAATAGGTAGCAACTGTTCCTTCCCCAAGCGCTCGGCACTTTGAAGTGAAAGTTGCGGGTCCTTCAGATGAGACCTTACAAAACCGAGGTCCCGTGTCACGGTAGGCGTTGGCACGTTAAAAAAACCCTCACACTGCTCAATGACCCTGAGTGCATCGGCATATGATGACGTCTCTATATGAGTGAAAAATTCTCGAACGGGACGTAAAACAACATACAACCAATCAATCTTTAATTTATGGTGAGGAATGGTAGTATAAAGCGTAGAACAGTCATATGATGTTTTGGGGGGTTGTCTTGTGATTTTTAAATTTTCTTAAAGTGTTTGAGAATCCACATTTGATTTACACCACTTCTTGAATATGTTGTAGCACAATACGTCTGAAGTTTTGAAATCCAATATAGATACGGTAACTTAATTAAATTTACTACCGTTGACTCGAGTGCTAAAAGTATCTAAACCTGAAGTCTGGTTTTGAAGAATTTTATCCTTTAAAGGGGACCTGATTAGCAGATGTGGAATTAAAATGCAGTTGTAATAATGAGCCATAAAACAAAGACAGTATTGCTATTTTATCACTGCCAGTTTACTGAAAAAGGAAGGATTAGATGCAGGCGCGGATCTAGGAATTTTTACCAAGGGGGGGGGGGGGTCCATCCCAGTCAAAAAAAAAATTCTAACCCAAAAAATATCAAAATTCCTTAAGCAAAAAAAAAGGGTCAAATCCTATTCCCAAAAGTGAAAAACACCCATTTTTTATTTGCTTCAGTATATACTTTTTATAACTCCGCAAATTCCAGGGGTGGGGGGTGGGGGTCCGGATCCCCCCAACCCCCCCCCCCCTCTAGATCCGAACGTGAGATGGTTCCCATTTTGCCTTTTAATCATCTCAATCTCTTTATCCATTCTGACGTTTTGAGGTCCTTACCTTCATATTTTGCCAATCGCCTTATATACTCTTCGACATAATTCATAATACATGTAGAAATGAAGTTCTATCGCTATTTGAAAGATCGAGGCTCCCTGAATTTTGGACCTTTTGGGAAATATTTTGCGAAGGAAAGTTATTGGAAAAACTTTTAAGGGAAGATCTTTTTAATTTTATTTAAGAATTATTATTATAAAAACGATTTTGAAAACAATTTTTAGCACTACATCTTTTTTTCAAAAATCTTGTATAAAGAGGGTTGACAGAGGTGATAGCGTACTAGGAACAAAAATCTGGATAGAGAATGAGAGCATATACATAAGTGATGAATGAACAAGATTCAAGTTAGCAAGTTAGAAAAAATATGAATACACCTATGCAGCTCATTACAACTTGAACTGAGCTTCTTATCGTTTTGCTCTCCATTATTTGTAAACATTATCTCCCTTTGTAGTGCTTTTTGACTGTCAAAATTTAGCGGACAACACTGAAAACTTGCTCATAAATTAATACCAACTGGCGGATTTAGAAGGGGTCAGCTCCCCCCCCCCCTTTCTGACACAAAATTTAGTAATTTAAGATGAATAAATTCTTCTCCTTGCTCACAGCCAGCCTGTTGGGCCCCCCTTTTGAAGAATCCTGGATCCGTCACTGACACCCATAATCTCAAGGAATGACCAATGTGGTCCCAGATAACCTGGCCCTAGGAGTCATGATTTGATTTAATCTGCACCATACAGAAAGATCTTTGAATTTCAATACATTTACAACTTATTGTGACCCTGTTTTTTTTTTTTTGTATGATTTTTTTTTTTGATATAATGCTTTTAAAAACCCACTATTGTGGCCCCACTCTTGTGCACAGGGTCATAATTTGGAGAGGTTTTGAATTTACGCTACGGTAAGTGAAGAACTTTGCAATCTGTATCATCAATTTAACTTACTGCGACTTCTTGTTCTTGATGAGATTTTTTAAAGATTTTTTCTATCTAAATATTGTAATATAAACTTTTAATACCCTATTGTGGCCCCATCCTAGCCCCTGGAGCCATGATACATAATACACTGGTGTCTATCAGAAAAGCCCATCTGTGGTTGTAGCTCAGGTGAGATAACACAATCTGGAAAACTTGAATTGTCCACAGACAGACAAACAGTGCCAATGTCTTGGGCATATAAAATTATTTTTTCATTTATATTATTTTATAATTTACTATCTGAAAATGCTCATAGTTTGACACATTTAAAGGATTATTTTTGTATGTACATGTACATATATCATCCACCTTAAATGTATGTTCGCTTTATTTTCTTTTGAAAATTGGGTTGCTGTTGAAGGCTGCAAATCTAGAGCCATGTACTTGCCACTTATGACCTTTGAAAATGAGGGATCTTTTTCATGCCAAAACCTACTGTGCCACAGGATTGGTCTCCATATCCCACAGCAGAATTCAAACCAGATTAGCTCCTACTCCACCAATGTTTATTGGACATCACTTACGTCAACTTTAAAATGTATTTAAACACTACACAGAATGGCATAATTCTCCAAAAACTTCTATTGATTTGAATTTTAAATAAGGTTGTGTACCAGTATATATTTTTTTTTAACATTATTTGAAAGAAAACACATTTTTTCGCCCAATACTTGCTTTACCATGAAAACAAAGATAAGATAGTTTTACGAATTAACTTGCGATATATTATTTGTTCTTTATTAATTTCAGGATCTTGGCAGTAGGAATAATTCTCTGTAGAAGCATGTGTTTTGCATAGTATCACTAGTGACAATATTACATTAGATTTCAAATCTTTTGATAGTAAAGCCTAGAAGACAAGGCCTTAGTCTCAGATTTTTTATGTGGGCTTTCATAAATTCAATATTTGTCCTTGTTCACAAGGTTATAACTTTGACAATAAGATTGTATATACAGTTGAACTTCGGTGTCTCAAACACAGATATCTCGAATACCATGGATATGTCAAAGTGATTTTGAAGTCCCAACTGCTAATTCCTTAAGTATTTTACCCTGGATATCTCGAATCCTCGGTTATCTCGAAGTATTTTCTCAGTCCCTTTGAGTTCAAAATAACAAGGTTTGACTGTATACTATTTTGTATCTGCAACCAACTTATTTTGAGAATTTTAATTTAAAACTCAACAAATCCTTTGGGAATTTCCCCCTCATATTCCACTGGATGTTTGATGTTGACCAATCAAATAATTGTTTCCCATAGTCGGCAATCAGAAACAGCATGTTCAGATTTTCATAAGTAACATAAGGATAACGTGAGGATAATCATTTTAAAAACAGTTACACCAGATATTCCTTGAATTTCAATGAGCATTATGCTCAACTACTACAATTTTCCATACACAGATGCTGGCTTGTAAATTTCATGCACATTTTCCTGAATGTCTAGCACCACAAATCTACAAATTCAAGTCGCATGTCTGTCACTGTAATTGAAGTATAAGCATTGAAAATGGTTTTGAATCTAAAAAACACATTGCTCACTCCATTGTGAAAGCCTTCAGCTATTACCAAGTATGCAATTCATTTCTTAAGATTCATTTATGATATTCTTGAGAAGATTTATAAAGATTTTTCCTACATATATATTCTAAAATAAAGCAATGACCCCCTATTTTTGTCTCACTGGTTTCATGTAATTATCACCTACATGTAATTCTTAAATTTTGGGGATACAAGGACTAAAACAGTGATTATTTTGATATCAACATGTCAGATTATCAACTTCAGTAGCAGTACTGAACAACTACTAGTAATCTTCATATACATTAGTACAGATATATTCGATAATGCATGAGAGAGATTGCTCAGAAGTGACACTAAACACAAGATGGAATTTAAGCAACTTCCCTGTATATATTGAATGAAGACTGGGTATAAGGTTAAGCAAAGACTGGTAGTTCTCCCATCCAGATACGTGTGCCAGGGAATATTTCTAGAAGACATTCTTTTAATGTTGGCTTGCACCATCTGTGTGTTACATGATTTTCTTGTATTTAGGGGGAAAAAAATTCTGTTCTGAATCTGATTTATCTTTTCCATTTTTATTAACATTTCTAGGCACACTCAGGAATGATGTGTAAAATTCCAGAGTAAATTGGATGAAATGTGCAGTACTTGAATATCTCAAATACCACAGATATGTCAAAGTGAATTGGAAGTCTCAACCACTGTGTTTTTTAACCTAAGTATCTCAAATCCTTGGATATGTGGAAGTTTTTTCAGTCCCAATATAAGAAGGACAGAACACCTCTTAAAGAGCCTTGGTTTGCTTGTCAGGATGTCCAACAGATGGAACAATTAAGTCCAATAATGTCCAAAACACATCATATAAAACATAACATATATTCTGTATTTATAATATATATAATCTATGTACATTTCTATCCTACTTCGGAACTTGGACACAAAAGAATATTTGCCATGGACATGATTCATTTTCATAACATGAAAATTTAAATAACTATTAATAAATATTATACAAAATTAAATTAAGACAATTATATTCTGTAAACAGCTTGTCAAAGAAGGCTGAAATGTTCCCTAGGATTACAAAAGTGTGCCTAAAATTCCAACATAGAACGCTGTCATGGAGGTTTCAGGCAAACATTTCCTGCAACCTATTTGTATAAAATAATCAACCAAACTGTCTTTCCATAGGGATAAATCCAATTTTTTAGACCTAAAAAAAAAATACTTTACAGCAAAATAAAGGTAAACAGTAAAAGTTTCTTTCTGATATTGCACATTCAAAATTTGCCAATTACACCATGAAAAAAAGGGTTGATTGCTTCAAAATCTTTGCATGTTACCCTTGCATGCATAAATTTATAACTTGCACTACAAATACATATAAATAATACTGTATATCAACTTGCGTTCTGGGTTACATAAGCTGTTTTTATCAGACATATTTGTGTTGAACTAAAACTTCTAAACAGTGTCCATCATTGTTATGCTAAAAGGAATTTATGATACCTAAGTTCATAGTTATGCATACAAAAGGCTAGTGCATCACAAATCAGCTGTTTTTCCAAGAGCCACCTGTAATTTGTATTGCATGTGATGTACTTTGCAGTAAACATAAGGAAGACACAAATAACAGAGGAAAATATACACATGTACATTACAGAAGTTCCACCTGAAGAAACAAAATTTACAACCCCAATTTTCAAATCAAAATCACTGTATCTGTATGAAAACAAAATTTGCTTTCTAAAATATTGTAAAATTACAAATGAGCAGCGAAAAAATAATGAGCACATAATAAGGTGTTGAGAGCAGTCAACAAAGACAGAAAATGGCGTAGAACTTCCTCAGAAACATACAAATATCAACTACAGAAACTCTTTATGTCATTTGCTGCCTATTCAAAACTGAGGCCTCCCATTACATTACAGGAGCCTTAAAGTCTGACCAAAGAATGCTGTCAATGGACAACTTTCAAAAATGTAAACAAATCAGATATATGTGGATATCACATGACTTATTTTGTTATGCTGCCCACAAAAGGCTGCATTTTAATGAAGAGATTTAGGGTGGGGATGAATGGTCCCCTCCATAAAGTTAGAGTGATACAAATGAAGTATAACACGAAATCCAGGCAAGTTGATGTTCAGTATCAATAAATATATGACAAAGCAAGTAGAGAAATAAAATCTGAAGTTTGATCCTCCACACTGCAGATCTGTAAGACAACTGGCCAATTACACAGAGGTGGCTTCACTGACAACAGTCTTTTCTGTTCCTTGTCACAACAGCTCTTGAAATACTTAGATTCATACTAGTTTGCTATTCAAACAGAGCCAACAAATCATCATTATTGCTATTGGCACTGGTTGAGGTTTGATTGTTTGTGGACGTTGAATTGCTGTTATTTGTGTTTGTGTTCTGTGTTCCAGGCGAGTCACTCCCGGAGCTCTCAGGTGGTCCCAAATACGATAACAGTTCAATAGGATCACCAAAATTTTCTAGCTGGAGCTAAAATAGAATAATTTTGTTGGTTATTTACTTTTTTCTTATAGCATCCAAAATACAAATCTGTCAGAAAGTAAAATATATACAACATCATGTATGCCTCACAAATCTTTATTTTTATTTTAATCTCAGATGTAGAAAACAACATTAAGAATCTCGGTAGCTTCAATTTTTGTATAAGCTGATTATAAAACAAATGACATTATATCACTCACATCTAAATTGTTGCTCTGACTATCATTCATAATAGTAGATGGGTCCAAATTGATATCCTCTATTGAATTGCAGTTATCTGCCCCTGACGTATTATTCTGATTGCTAGGAGGTGACTGGTGATCAAGTTGATGGCTGCCATTACTCATGCTTTGTGATGATTGGCTGGAGGGAGTCATATGACTGTTCATATTGTTTTGGTCAGGGTGCCTTAAAGTGGGCATTCCCTGGTCCCCGGACACTGGGACAAACTGTCCTGCATTGTGAGTCATTTGAGAAGAGGAGTCACTTTGTGGCACATTGTTCATTGAATTTCCACTGTTCATGGAATTTCCATTACTAATATTGTTTATGCTCTCTGACATATGTGTGAGAGGGGAACTATAGTCTGAGGGGGGACCTGGGTGGGGATATCCTGTACTGACTGGTCCATTTGGCATGCTCTCATTTGGCATTCCTGGATACTGTGATCCTGTAGATAAAATATTTCATTAGTCTGCGATGAAGCATAGTCCTTATTTTCATTTACATGTTGAGTTTCAGTTATACATACCTTGGCCAGAGTTCATGGTAAAAGGTGATGCAGCTTGTCTGCCACCCCCCATCATGTCCCATGTACTCATGGTTGGTAGCTGCATGCTTGATGGGGACATTGCTTTGACCCATCGACCACCACAGGAGTTATCTCCTAAAACATTTACAAATATATAATTCATCCAGTTCTTCAGTCTCTGTGTTTTCATACAGGTGCCTTAATCTTTAAACAATTTTTTTTTAAAACTGTGTTTTACTTCATAACATTATTACCCGTGTATCACTAAATTTTCAACAACCAAAAAAAATCTGGTACAAATTTGTTTCTGTGTACACTGCACTTTAGCATGCAATCAAAAACTCTAATCATGAAAGCTAAATCCAAAAGAGTTCATTCAATTCATGCTAAATTAACTATTTTGAAACCTACCTGTATCCTCCTCTTTTACTGCAGTTTTATGCTGCACAGGTTTCCAAGCTGCCATGGGGTCAATTGTGACCTCCTCAAATTCTGTTGTCTGAAGGTTAGTAAGAATTCCCCATATGTACTGGTCAATCTCTAAACCCTCCAGTAATGCTGTTTTACTGTAATCAAGAACAAAATTGAAATATAATTCTTCTGATGATTTTGGATATTTACCTAGCTAACTTTGTTGCTCCATTTTGGCCAAAGTGACAATAAGAACTTGCCTACACACGGGGCACCGCCAAGAACCCCGTTCTGTGTTCAGCTGAAGATACGACTCCAGATCAAAGCACTGTATATGTTTACACTCATGTCCCCGAGCAGGAAGCATAATTCGCCGGAATGTGATTGGACACTTAAGGGATACTTTAATAGCTGTCTGCTCGACTCCATCCTCACTATTTATGCTGTTGTTACTTGTCACACTTGTAAAATTTCTTTTGACTAAAAAAAAAACAAACAACAAAATGATGCTTAAATCAAGATATTCTCCCCTTTCTTTTTGAAATCTATCATACTGCAATATGTATTGTATAGGAAATTATGAATCTTTGCAATTAATTTCATCTTCAAGTACTACTCCTCCCATTGAATGACCACAGGTTTCAGTATGAGAGTACTTTAAATGAAATTCTTTTAACGATAGCCTTCGGGATGTACTTACTTTTCGTGATACAATGCTCTGCAGGTAAAAGACGCTTCTTCAGTAGGCCCTGAAGTACCGACCGCACACTTGGACGATGAACCAATTGCAACACAAAAAGATGAGACTAAAAAAAAAAACATCAAGAGAATCTTTAGGATTTACAGAAAAAACAAATGGACACTGATGTATATTGTATGATCAGAATTTTTGGTGAGGATTCAATTTTGGCATTATTAATGAGAGTATTAGGTCACTAACATCAAATATCACTAACAATTCAATGAGCTTTAGAGGTACCGGTAATAGTTATCTTTCTTGATACCATAGAATTGGTAAAATTACTTTTCGCTCAATATTATGCCAGGTTTTTTAAGGACAAATAGCTAGAAATGTGTCATTTAAAAATTCTACTTATACAGTGAATAAAATTTAAATTAAAAATAAGATATTTGGGATCAATAAATGTAATGTGATCTTACACAACAACATGCTGTGACTGTGATTTGAATGGTATTTCTGCCAGGCTGGCAAACATCTTTGAGGTACAGTGGTTTGTGGGAGGTCTTATTCTCTCCCCGCTCTATGTTAAGGGGATTAGCATTGACACTAACAGTCACTGAGGCTGGCCAGTTAGTATTCATCTGCCTATCCTCATGATGGAAACACTTCAACTGTAATTCAAGGTCAGATCTGAAATGGAAAATTATAATAGTTTTTAAGAGTTGTCTCCCTTGTGAAGGCATTCATGAAGTGAATACCTCTATCAACCAATTCTTTTTGGCCATGCGTTATCATTTTTTTTGGGGTTGTCAAATTACATACTAAACTTAAATCAAAGTTTGAAAAAAAAAATGATCCAGATCTACTTATAGTTCTCAAGTTGCCTAATTTTTTTTTGAAAGACACTTCATTGCAGTTGATTTTTTGAACAGAAAAATCTCCCAAAAATTCAATGAAATTTGTTATTTACTTTTAAAGCAAACCTAACAGAAACATGTCAGTAAGATTATATAACATACAAACCTCCACATAAGGGTTTGATACACAGAATCTCTGAGGTGGAAGACATGGTTGCTTACTGCCAGGTTATGCTCCAAACGGAATGGAGGCAACACTACACCATCCCTGACTGGGAAAGTCAGGCGTAATTCCTCAGGGTCTGAAGTCACAAAAGTTGTGTAAAATTACATACAAAGCATATTTTCCTTATGTATCTGAGTGTCAAGATCATTTCAACTTCTATTGATATAGGTACAATGGAATCTGCCATTGTTTTACTTAAAATTATATCAAACTGAAAATTGTCCTAGGATGTACTGGTACATGCACTGGACTGAGTTGCCTTGAAGTTAATACTTTGGTTGCAATTTCTATCCTCACTCTTAGAAATTGTAATTTTGATATGCTTGACATGGACCAATTTTTGTCATAATGCATTATAAAGGCATCACCTCCAACAATTCGAAGAGTATTTTCCACCATTTCATAATGTTACCCTAGTGCAATTATTAGGAAATGCCTTAGCAATATTGGTGCAAACTTTCATTAAATTACATCTATTGTTTCAAGATAACTCCACCAACTCATGTCATTGACTTTCCTCATTTATCATAGTTACACTGTATGGCAAATCTACATGTAATATTTAAGTACCCCTTCCATAAAACCAATATTATAATTATATCTACTGACAAAATACTTCACCTTTCTTGATCTGCATTTGCCCAGGGTAGGGAGGCTGCACTGCCCCTGGTGTGATGGGTGGGGTGGGGTTACCAGGCAAAGGTGAGTGAGGATAACTCATGTTGGAGGACTGCAATGGAATCTAATTGTGTCATCAAGTCATAAATATAGTTTATAAAAAATTCTGATGACATTTTTTTTTCAATTAGATGAACTCATAAAAGTACCTGTAAGTTCTGCTGTCCATTACTGTACTGAGGGGAGGGACCATATCCTGGACCCTGGGGAGGGAGCTGTCTGCCTTGTGGGGGGTACTGGCCTGTCATGTATGGATTCTGACCATTTGGGTAGTGAGGTGGAGCACTGGGCCTCATTCCTGGTTGCTGAGGACCATAGGTTGGGGAAGGCAGAGGCTGCTGGGCTGGGGGGTACTGAGGTTTGTTTGGATACTGTTGCTGGTTTATGTACTGTGGGCCATACTGGAGAAGTAAATACATCAATGTCATTTATTCATACACATACACACTTATACACACATACAAATCTACATGATTTCTCCGCTCTTTTCTACTTTTGTGTAAAATTATTTTCCAAGAAGTCACTACCTGTGCTCCATTAGGGTACTGCTGACTGCCAGTGACCTGCCTTTTCATCATCTGTGGATTCTGATAAGGAGCGGTACGACGCATGTACATGCCTTTGTTCATCATTGGGCCTGGTGCTGTCCCATGACCCATATTCATGGGTCCTCCTCTTTGGGGCATCCCTTGATACTGATTAAACTGATTCTGAACCTAAAGAAATGTTCACGGATTTTGTAAATTCATCAACAAGTCAAGATCATAATTCATTTGCAAATCTCTGCTATGGATGTTAATCTTTGTGGAAAAAGAGTTCATAATTCATAGACAGCTAAAATTTTATCATCATGAATATTTACTTCCACATTTTAATCAAAGATGTGAAAAACTTGTTGAAACAGGAAGCAAGTCCTACAGTTAGTGACAACTGTATACAAGACTGATACAAGTGTCTGTAGAGTATAAATAACCTATTGGCATAATGCTTCACAATATCAAATTGATGCAAAGCTCTAGTGCACTGGTATCAGGAAGGACTCAAGTAAATACTTGCAAACTTTCTGTCACCACTGCAAATGACTCTTTTCCTGTCTCTATACAAACTTGTATCATATCTGTACAATTATGATAGAAGAAAACAAGTCTTACTGGCATCTGTGGTGGATACTGCCCATTCATATTCATTTGCATATTGAGCTGTTGCTGATCCTGCATGGCAACCATACTAGCAGTTGCTGTGGCAGTTGCAGTTGCTGTTGCTGCTGCCGCAACCAATGCTGCAGATAGGGCTGGGTTTCCCTGTGGCATCCCTGGGCCTCCTGGATACTCATTGTGTCCTGATATTGGCGTGTTAGAGCCTGGTGTGTTTGGAGTAGGAGGATACCTGTACAAGACAATTATTACTCTAAAATGCATGAATCAAAACTGGATATGTAAATCTTCATAGATGGCTTCCATATTTTTCACCTCTCCCTAACTAGCAACAAAACCAGATCTGTCCCTTTTTGACCAAAGCCTGCCCCCCTCCCCTCCTCCCCCTTTCCCTGAATAATAGAAGACACACTCAAAAGAAAATTAAGAATATCATATTTTTACAAAAACCTGACAATACTTCATTATATTTATATGTGCCACAAGACTTACTAAAGTTAAACTATTTACAAATAAATCTCCAGAGACACTTGAAACAAAATGAAAATCCTGGTTATTCCATACATGCTTTCATTTCACAAAGCTTATGCTTTCATTCGAAACCAACTATAATATATAGTAACAGTATAAATGTCAGATGAAGTACGAAGCGTTTGATTGAATTCTTCCATCATTGTGAGTGATTTGTGACTAATATCCTAATACCACTATTTACTGATGACTAAACACATCCATCCTGTTGTCTTTAATTTTGAAATATATATTATATGATTATGATAGCGGTTGTCATGGTTTCAAGATTTATACATGTAACTTTCTGTCTGGATCAATTCACACCCTTTTTTCTATTTGACATTTGTCATATAGTTTTTCTTTTACATTTCAAATTATCCATAGAATACTTCCAGACTCTTTTTTTCATGAAGATGTATTGCATCCTAAAAATGGGTCAAAGTCCTACTTACACCAAAATGATTATTTTTTTTAAGTTGATCATGATGTTCTTTTTCACACAAATTTGTAGTTTCTACAGTACAACAACCAAATAAATGTGAAGTTTTTCTTTATATACTTTGTATAATTGTTTTCTCTCATTTTTAGAAACATGTTCTTGTACAAGTACCCATGCATCCTTAATCCTCCTCCTTCTCGCTACCCCCTACCCCTCTCTTCCCTCCCTCCTAAAGGAAAGAAAAACCGCTCTCTTGTAGCCACTAGCTTAATTAGGTAACTTTCCTAGTGGAAATGCCACTCTCCCCACCTCATCCTAATTTCCTAAATTTTTTTTTTTTTTTACATGGTTATATGTATTCCCCATATGCCTCACTGCTAACTTCTAAGCATAAATTATCAACATATAAACCCTAATAATTAAATGATGACCCCTTCTATTGCATAAGTATGGAAAACAATATGCTTATTTCCTTTACAATCTTTTAAAAAAATATCAGGGTTGGTAGGTAAGCTTTTCAAACAATAGTCTTCTGCGGGGAAAAAAAAAACAAACAAACAAAAAACAAAACAAATTCAATCAAAGATGAGGTTTGTGTTATTCTTCCCAAAAATACTTGTAGGTATTTCAACTTTCCAGATAAATATCACAACTATAAAATGTCTGTTACCATACTAAAACTATCCTCACAATAACTTATCAAATGTTGTAAAAAAAAAATAAAATAAAAATACATCAGATAGCACATCTTTCTATGCTTTTCTCTCAGAAAAGAACATCACTTTGGGATTATAAAAGTATAGGCAAGTCATATTAGAGGAGACAGACTCTTTTTTCTAGGTCTTAAAGCTATCAGACACCTACCCTGGTCGGTTGTACCCCCCAGAGTCCCGCCTGTTTGTGATGGGTCCCATGTTATATGGAGGTTTTTGCATCTGATTCCCTGTGAATCCTTGAGGCTGTTGTGTGTAGTTGGTTGAGGACATTGTGGTATTAGTGTACCCTGATCCTGGAGTACTGTGGTTGAAGGGACCACTTTGTGTAGACTGGGTCATCCCCCACACGGTGGTCACCACTGAGAGGGAAGGTGGACCTTGATTTCCAGGCATCCAACCACCATTAGGATCACTGTCGGAAAGATATATAAACACAATAATCTACATGATCAATGTTTTTGTTTATTATGTGTGATAAAAATCCACTGAGAAAAACAGTTTACTATTTCTTAATTATTCTTGAAGGTAAATATTTGTGTACTGTTATCATCCATACAAACCTTAAAATGTCATTAAATCATCATTACATCAGAAACCCTAAAATCCTTTACACTTATTTACTGCCTTTCAAAATTATTTTTTGCCTTTCAAAATTATCTGAACATAGCCCTTATAAACCTATATTCCTATAGTTCACACCACCAGACAGCTTAACAAGCCCTCAAGGAATCCTGATTCTTGACCTACTAAGTGTTTCTAATATCATCATAATTTACCTGCCTTTTGTGAAACATAGTGCAAGAAATCCAATAGCAATTACATTATACAACACACCTCTCAGTCTGAACTGCTATCTGAAGCTCTGTTGCCACTTGGGGCTGCCATTCCCCACCAGGACCTGAAGTCATTGTTAAATGATTCCAACCACCCCTGGAAATTTTAGATCTCTTTTCTTGTCAAATGTTGTTTAAAAAATCTGAACACACACACTAAACACAAACAGAGCTAAGTTAATCCTCTCCTAGAATCACTGTCTCAGCTGGGTGTTTAATTCAGGCACCATTGTCTATACCAGTGAGTGTCCAGTCTATCAGTGTACGAAGTCAGCCATTGTCACACAAGTGTAAACACTAGAGATTACTCTACAACTCCATGTACATGTCCTAACTATAACACTACACAGTCAGTCTAACAGGGCCTTTATCAGCCATCCCAGTTCATCCTAAGCTGGTCACATGATCAGCCTAGCTCAATCTGCCTTGTTTTTACAGAAACAAGAGGCTCCAGAAGGGAAAATCAATGTCAGGAATAACAACCAGTGCACAGCACTGCTGTTAGTTTTAGTTGACCTACTCCACAGCAAACACACACCAGGTAAAACATACTTTTAAATGGCAAATCAAGTTTGTTTACGAAGGTATTCTGTACGTTAACACCAAACTTCAGAAAACACCTGCAGGGCATATATATAAGACACTGTCCATTGAGATAATAATTTGTAAGTCAATTTTATCAGTTAAAATTCTAAAGACTTATCCTTCAATGACCTAGTAAACCCACTATAAAACTTATTGGTAGGTATTAGTGCTATCATAGCCCAAATAAAGTATTTAGGAGCCACTAACTAAGAGAGACTAAATATTCTCAGGTGATTTCCCTTTACATGAAGTCAAACGATATGTTATTAGTCCAGGCATGGAGGTCAAATCTATTTCCTTCCTATTGTGTTTTAGCACTGCGTCATGCCTTGTTGTGCTCCAAGGTGGTGAAGCTCAGTGCATTCAATCACAATATCGAATCAGGACAGAATGAACAGGAACAATCTCAGTTGTAGCTTTAATAATTGTTTTAGAAAACTTCAATGTGGAGGAGTTATATTACTGACACAATTCTAATACCGACTTCAGAGAAACACTATCACACATTTAGTTAATTAACATATATTAAAATTACTTACAGTGCTGTCATTTAAACTGATGGTTTGAAGCAGTTACATGTAGCATGAGAGAAATTAAGAGAAAAACGTAAATGACTTTTTTTTTAAACACAAAATGCAAATTGATTCTGGCAAGAGAATTAGTGATATAAAATCTCTAGTTCTCCCTCTCCTTACTGGCTGTGACAAACTACACATAAATACAAGACAATAAGCGGTCCTCGTCCCAACAGACATTTATATCACTACACTAACAAATGAGTAATGATTCATAATTTCCATGCCATTGTAGATATTTAAATATCTACTTAAATATGTTTTGTATATTTTCAATTTTTTACAGTAGTTGATTTTATTAGTAAAGCCACTAAGCCATTCTTTCATGCAACTTTAGTGATAGATTTAATTAATAACAAAAAAGCCCCCTTCAATCATCATGTAGTTATCAATGTTAACAAATCCTTTCTTTTCTTTCTACCTCTAGACCTGAGTTCTGTAAGTAATTTAACCCTATTATTGCAAATGGATACATATCTTTCTCTGATCAATACACTGGCAGTCAGTGTTGTGGATTGATTTTTGTTAACGTATGAAAAATTGATTGCCTGATACCAGTATGAAGACATTCATGTAACACATGGCTTTTTTTTGAAAATCAGACTAAATACTTCTTTTATGGCATTTATTTTTTTTCATGCTCATATAAATAATATTTGTGTATGTATATATAAATCAATCCTTTACCGTAACATAAACAATTCACAAGTTTGGTACATTTCTACATGAAAAAATTGTGTTTAAAGTCAGACATGTTCCTTGAATATCTGTTTTGTATCTCGATCTTGGTATTTATAAAAGTTATGAAAAATTATCATCTTCTTGTGATTTCTAAACTGTTTTCAAAATGGCTCAAAAGAGAAATATGCCAAAAATTATGATATTAGCATTTCAAGTGATTTCCAATAGGAAACAGCATCCTCTGGAAAGGTACCTCAATTTTTTGTGAGTAAACTTGTTTAAGAAACTATACTTAATGACAAATTCTTGGGGAAAATTATATATTACTGAGGAACATGTTGAACAGTAGTTGGAACAAACTTCCAGTATCATATGACAAATTTACTACTTTACAACTGATTGCTTACTCTCCAAAGACATTCACTTTGATATATCTGCAAAGGACCAAAGCTTTGACTTTTGATAGAAGATATGATTTACAAAAACCATCATGGCTTACTGTATTCATTTTAATTAACTCCAACTAATACTTCTTTATTTTTTTGTTTAATGTATATTGATGCTTTCCAAGAATCAGATTTACAGGAACTTGTAAAATTTATGACTATGTATCAACAGAAGCATGGATAATGATTACAGCATCTACAGTAAACTCATCTCTAGTAAGAAATCAATCATGATTAAGTTTACTTCCTCCTCAGCAAAGAAGATCAGGACACCCAGAAATAGAACAAAAGTCCTCATCTCTCCTATAGAGGACACCAAGAAATTGAACCAAAGTCCTCATATCTCCTATAGAGGACACCAAGAAATAGAACAAAAGTCCTCATCTCTCCTATAGAGGACACCAAGAAATAGAACAAAAGACATCATCTCTCCTATAGAAATAGAATAAAAGTCAACATCTCTCCTATAGAGGACACCAAGAAATCGAACAAAACTCCTCATCTCTCCTATAGAGGACACCCAGAAATAGAACAAAAGTCATTATCTCTCCTATGGAAATAAAACAAAAGTCAACATTTCTCCTATAGAGGACACCAAGAATAGAACAAAAGTCCTCATCTCTCCTATAGAGGACACCAAGAAATAGAACAAAAGTCCTCATCTCTCCTTTAGAGGACACCAAGAAATAGAACAAAAGTCATCATCTCTCCAATAGAGGACACCAAGAAATAGAACAAGAGTCATCACATCTCCTATAGAGGACACCAAGAAATAGAACAAAAGTCATCATCTCTCCTATAGAAGACACCAAGAAATAGAACAAAAGTCATCATCTCTCCTATAGAGGACACCAAGAAATAGAACAAAAGTCATCATCTCTCCTACAAAGGACACCAAGAAATAGAACAAAAGTCATCATCTCCTATAGAGGACACCCAGAAATAGAACTGAAGTCATCATCTCTCCTATAGAGGACACCAAGAAATAGAACAAAAGTCATCACCTCTCCTATAGAGGACACCAAGAAATAGAACATAAGTCATCACCTCTCCTATAAAGGACACCAAGAAATAGAACAAGAGTCATCACATCTCCTATAGAAGACACCAAGAAATAGAACAAAAGTCATCATCTCTCCTATAGAGGACACCAAGAAATAGAACAAAAGTCATCATCTCTCCCATAAAGGACACCAAGAAATAGAACAAGAGTCATTACATCTTCTATAGAAGACACCAAGAAATAGAACAAAAGACATCATCTCTCCTATAGAGGACACCAAGAAATAGAACAAAAGACATCATCTCTCCTATAGAGGACACCAAGCAAATAGAACCAAAGTCATCATCTCTCCTTTAGAGGACACCAAGAAATAGAACAAGAATCATCACATCTCCAGTAGAAGACACCAAGCAATAGAACAAAAGTCATCATCTCTCCTATAGAGGACACCAAGAAATAGAACAAGAGTCATCACATCTCCTATAGAGGACACCAAGAAATAGAACAAAAGTCATCATCTCTCCCATAAAGGACACCAAGCAAATAGCTGATATCACAGCTAAACAAACAGACTAGTGTAGGCCAACTAGAAATCATCAGATATAATACAAATTGTATGATGTTCTTGTGATTAAAGAAAAAATGATTGTAAAACAGTAAACCTAAATAATCCTTAAGTACTGGCCAAGATAACAGGAGAGATAGAACACTAAAATTTAAAAAGATTAAGTAATAATTAAATATTCCTATCCCAGTCCATTAATTCTTTTGATTTATAAGTGATAAATTATTAAAATCATAATTTTCAGTTGTACTGATTTTGGACTCTAAGAGGAGAGGAGAAAAATGCAATGAACCAGACCGGGATGCGAACTTGGGTCCTCTGAATATTCAGTTATGTGCTCTACAAACTGAGCTATCTGGCCACCAGTGATCAAACCCATCTGACTGCCACAAGCCAAAGGGCCTTAACTGTCAACTGAGTATAATAATAAAATACTGTAAGAATCCATAGAATGGCAATTTAATGAGAATATAATAAAACAAAATAAACTGATAGATGAAGATATGGTGCCCCAAAACAAGAGAAATAGGATGATCAGGGATTAACAAAATAGTCTGGTACTGATCGGCAACAACTCAGAGTAGATCTCTTTACTTGCTTGTATGTGCAAACCAAACTATATACATTATTACTTAAAACAACAATACATACATAGTTTACTTAGCTCAAACCCTACTAACACCAGAATCCCTCACCCAGGGGGCATGAATTATAATTTTGGAAGATGCACCCTTAACCATGCACTTTGTCTGCTAAAAATCCTTAGGAGCAGAAAAGAGGATTTTCAAAGTATTAATGCATTTTCACTATATGATCAATAGAGCCCTGCCCTAACACCAGAACCTGACCCAGGGGCCAAGAATTTCACAATTTTGAAAGAGGCATCCTTGTTCATTATCACCATGCATTAATTCTCAGAAGCAGAGAAGATTTTCAAAGAATTTAAGTTTTTTTACTATAGGTCAATAGAGCCTAGCCCAACACCAGAACCCTTGACCCGGGGCCATGAATTTCACGATTTTGGTAGGGAACTCAATGCTTATTATTAACATGCCAACAACTAACTGCATGATGTGCAGTAGTAAAGAAAATTTTTGAAGACTGCATTTATTTTGATGGTTTTGGTCCCACCCCTCAGGCCCAAGGGGTGCAGAAATCATGAAATTCACACTGTTTGTTCCCCTTTGCTCATAAATTTTATATACCAAAATTGGTTGATATTGGTTCAACGGTTCAAGAAAAGAACCTAAAAGTTAAAAAGTTTACAACTGACAGACAATGCACAATGACGGACAGTAACCTGAGTGACTCAGTTGACCTAAAAACATACACATATGAAGGGCATTCTCACTTTCAGCTTAGTTTGTTAACCTATTTAAAATGGCAAGTTAGTACCCAACAGAAGTTTTGGAGAGATATCACAATAACTATGATTGCTTTCACCCTCTTACTAGAGGGGATAACTCTCTCCTGCAGTCCTAACCTGTTAACCAATTCCTCTTTTTTAAATGCCCTCCTTTAATCCTAGCTTCTTTCTTTCAACACTATACTTCCATC